ACTACTAAATTGTAGACAGACACTGCATTGAGCTTAATGGTGGCACTTCACATGGCTATTTGTATTTGTGATTGCATTTTGCCGTATTTGGCAAAAAATTCGACGTACGGGCAAATAAGCGATACAACCCTCTACACATGGGGCCAAATACCAAAAAATTAACCATGTTTGCTAGCAGAAAATAGTTGTACCTACAAAATGGACGTGCACTTGCAGCTGGATTTTATTATTTGAACGTATTTTACTATTATATTTTTTGCCCCTCGTTACCAGGGTCCCAAATGCATGGGTTCATTTGGTAAAGTTCTAGAAACCTTACAAAAGTTTCTTTGTCCCAATTCATTTTCCGTAGGTACCTAAATAACTACTTATTAAGAGGCTATAAACAGATCCGCCCGTACTGGTTGGCAGTTCGCGCGCTTATGAGCCCGACCATGTGTGGCCAGTTTATTTGCGTATTTGCCTATTTGTCTTCTTTGATGAGCCTTGAAAAACCGACAGATGATCGGTAAGCCGTATTTGTTATTGGGTATTAAAACAAAATCTTGATACCACACATCTTGACACCGCACCTGTCTGTCTGTCTGTTCCACTATTAATAGACTACTTTTGAAATTATTATATTAATAAATGCAGTGGTATTTTACTTTCTGTTTTTATCTTTATACAACCAGATTAAAACATCTTTCGAACTATATAGCATGTGAAGATAGTATTATAAATGTACATATTATGTATTATTATTCATTTTGGCATTAATCATATTTATTTAATTACTGTAATGGTGTTTGTGATCTATATTCACTAATCAATCAATACATGCAAAAATAGTCTCCACACCACGTTTGTTTGTCGGTGCACTATTTTTTTGCCGGAACTACTAAAAGGATCATCAGTCTAAAAGTACCTACAAATGCTGAATAGTAAAGTACCTGCAACCTTGTTTTATGCTATAAATTATTTAGCAGTTCCATTCTATTCTAGGGATATTCGATATACATCAATGCATCGAATTCACTCGATGTTTACAATACGATGCATCGAATCGATCCGATGTTTTGGAAAGTTATTGATATACTCGATGTATCGATGTCTTTTCATAAAACATCGAATCAATGATAACCATCCAATGGTAAAAAGGGTATACTTATCTATCACTATTAATATTATAACTTCTAAATCAGAAAAACAGCGCTCTTATTTAGAAGTTATAATATTAAACCTGTTGGTGGCGCTACTTGGTCAGTCCTTAGCGGAATCAAGAAATTGGCTGGTTGGCAACACTGTGCTAAAGAGAATAAAAAAATCGTCTGGTCTGTCTCGGTTTTAAGGCGGCTACTCACTTGCATGCAGCAGGGCAATCTAGGATGAACAGCGATCGGGACAGTATCAGAATAGTCTCTCTACACACATGCCTGCCGTTCAGTATGAAAGTGTACATCTCGGTGGACACATGCGTTGAGAATGGCGCCAGTTTTATCGAAATATCAATGAATCGGTAAATATAGCCTTGGTTCTTTTTTTTTGTAAAGAATAAGGGTGACAAATGAGCACAGTCCACCTGTTGTTAAGGAGATACTGTGGCCCATAGACACCCATATTTATGATAAAACAACTTATTAATTAATAATTACAACCATAACACAGTCCTTAAAAGCTGCAGCATGACTCTACCACGTTTAAAAACGTTACAACGTTCAAATAACGTTCCTTCTGCGGTGCTGCCGTAAAAAAAAACAAAAAGGAGATAATGGGTGAAGAAGCCGCTGTTTATACACTTCTATCACCAGTGTCCAAATTTCACATTTTTTATTGATATCTATTGTGAAGTTTGCTGCGCGCGAAAGTTATTAACGAACTGATTGAAATTGTTCCAATTGCGCTACACACGTGGCAGCGGTAGCTATGATCTAGGGAGCAAGGAAGTTCTTGCGCCCCTGCCGCCCAGCCACAGGGCCGACTTAGGAAATTACCCCTGCTTTCATACACACATCACAATTAAGGAGGTAATTAAGGGTAATCCCCACTTCTACACCCTAGATTGCCCCTGTGGCAGGCAAGTGAGTTAACGCCTTTAGACCATTTAACACAGTGGATTCGCCTCGCATGATTGTTGCCCTCTGCCAAGGTATTGGATTTAAAAATCTTGTGCGTTGATTAAACATGCTTACGGAATCGTTTTTAAACGCACTAGATTTTTATCCTTATAAGAATCATTCCCGCCGAAGTAGGTGTTTTTTGAAAAATGCCAGTCGGTGAGGTTAACGTGTGCATAAAGTAGCCAAATACTTAAAGTTTACATAAAGATGGAGTTGTATTCCATATGTAAGTATTTTTATTGTGTTTGTATCAATTTTTATCATTTAAAATAATATCATAAACATTGACCTACTACTAAATGGACCTCGGCTATGCGCTCAAAAGTGTCCGAGCCAAAAGAGTTCCAAAATGCAAAAAGAGCTCGAATTGAACGCCAGTCTTCGTTTTGTCGCCCGATAATACACTCCAAATTGCCGTACAGTATCACAAAACGAGCAAAACTATTTATATATTTTTTCGATACTATTTATATTAGACTATTAATATTTAATAATTTAAAAATAATATTTTGTTTAGATACAAGATACATAGTATTTAATTTAAATTCACATTAATTGTAAAAACAAAAAACCATACCGATAATTTTCGCTAGAAGCTTCATAAGGCGAAAAGAATGCAGCCTCTGGTTGAAGTAAAAGGCTGACAAATTGTCGCAAGTAAAATTATATATATAATACGTTTGTATAGGTTGACTCGGGACACATTTTTCGTGAATTTTGTTCTAGATCCGCCGTCCATTTAGTAGTAGTTGAATGATCATAAATAATAATTTATTTATTCTTTATTGCATTCCTTAATATAAAAGAATACAAAGAGAATAATACAAAAAAAAATCTACCAGTCAACCCACGAGAATTTGACGTAGGTGTAGCAATATAAAATAATAACAAAATAAAAATGATAATTAACTAAGTTATATATTAATTTTACAAATATATAAAACAAATATACTATAGAAATATCTCCTATTTATGCATATATACAAATATATGCATACAGACGTATACATACATATATACACATCAACATACAAATATAAATAATACAAATAGATAACTATGAATATTTACATCTCTTAACAATATATTAGTTCTTACGAATAAGACACTTTGTGTATCATGCAATTAAGAATATCTATCTCTCTAACTAACATCCTTGAACACACATACACACTCACAAAAGGCATGCGGGCAGACAGTACTGATGTAAGAGTAGTAGATCATTCAAAATTGTCGGTTGTTTGAAGTCAAAAAAAGTACTCGATGTTGAAAACACATCGATGTTTTTAACCGATGCATATACATAAACACTCACGCCTGTCACCCAGAGGGGTAGGCAGAGATTATGGACTTCCATTTGGCACGATCCTGACACACCTCTCTCGCTTCCTCCACATCCATATACCTACGCATACACGCTCTTCGGTTAAAGGTACTCTTGATTTGGCCCATTTTTAATATATTGCCAATTTGGTCGATAAACTTTCGCCTAGGGCGACCCTTCCCGACTATGCCGTTTACCTCTGCAACATAAATTTGCTTTGTTACTCTTTCCTCATTCATTCTTTCTACATGGCCAAACCACCGAAGCATTCCTTTCTTAATCCTGGTCACAACATCATCTTGCAAACCACACTCTTCTCTTATTAAACAATTTCTCACTCTGTCATTCAGCTTCATCCCTAACATACTCCTTAATGACCGCATTTCTATAGCATTTATTCTACTCTCATGCTTCTTCTGCCACACCCAACTTTCACTACCATACATTAAAGTAGGTACTAACACAGCATTGTGAATTGCCATACGTGCCTTTTTGGATACATTCTGACTTTTCAAAATAGAGTGTAGAGCCCCATTCACTCTATTTCCTGCATTCACACACCGATGCATCGGAATATATCGATGCACAGTTTCGATGCAACACATCAATGTATTTTCAAAGTGGGCACCCCTATTCTATTCTATATACACTATTCTAACTCATACTACTAATAGAAAATAGCTTTTAGTTTAGGCTCAAAAGGGCTAGAACCGAGAGCAGTAAAGCGAGTTAAAAAAAGTTGGGTATCTTTTTAGGTTATTGTGATATTTGTGCGGGACAAGTGAAAACAAATAGTGATAGGATCACAGAACACTAATTTGGAACAGTTATAGTCTTCTGAATATTTTCAGACAGTGGTTGTTTATTAGTTGATGGACCTGCAATATGTTGAATGACATTCCTTTGTTCCAAATTAAGGTCAGCTAATGTGATCTGAAAATTAGAGATTATCAAATCATCATTTATATCATGTATCCCAGCATTGGTCAACCAATCTCTAAATTTCTAACAGCCTTATAAATTTATAAACATTAAATACAACTTGTTTTTATTAATGAATGTTGCTTTAACCCATTACCACCACCATCCTATTTTTAAGACACTATATTAACAATTTCTTTTATTTGTAAATATATTCTGTAATAACTAAATTATAATCATGTTATTTAAACAACATTGACAGCTCGTGGTGCAGTGACTAGCATTGAGTTGCGGCACTGAAGGTCACAGGTTCGAATGCTGCACAGAATAAGTATTTGTATGGCCTATAAATAATTGTGCCGGGGGATGTTTGTCCTTATTCAATTTATGTTTGTAAACTGCCTCCACAATACAGGAGAAAATCCTAGTATGGATAAGGTTTTTTTTTTTAAATAAAAGATAACATATTTTTTTTAAAGTGTATATCTTTTGTTTTGTATGGTTGAGAAGTAATGGTAGGTTATGTCGCATACCCTTATAAATCACCACTCAATCTGTTACCACCGTTTGTTAACTAGATAATATTTTCACTGTAGTATGAGAAGAGCCACACAAAAGAAAAAATGTAGATAGTAAGAAAAGAAAGATTAAGTAACCTTTTCACATTCCTCATCAGGTACTGCAGATTTGACTAGCCTCTTTCCAAAATTATCAATGAATGATGATTTCTTAAAATGTTTAGTGCACAACATTAAATGCCTAGAATGAAGATTGTTTTGAAATTCTGGTGACCACCAAGAGTCATCAGGAAAACAGTACTTCGCCCATAATTCACATCTGAAAAAATACAATTAGATAATAATATACTACTGAGGTGCTAAAAACATGCTTGGAAGAAGAGTGCAATACAAGAGATTGTTCCTTTCAAACAATGTGATTGTATTGTATACATATATAAATATTATTCCACAAGTTATTTCTATGTGTACAAATACATCTATAACTACTTTATTATGTTATGATTTCTATGTGATACACCTCATGCTGTTCTGCATAATTTCTCTTTAATTTTCAGATTTATTTGCACACGTTTTTAAATCGTTTAATATGTATCTTAGGTTTTATTAGCCGATGCGGCCCATAATAATTTTTATTTCTGTTACTTTATTAATTCAATGGTTCAAATTTAAACATTTTAAAACTGTTTTAATCAGTAATTAAAAAGCTATTTAGCATACGTACCGTAAGCTATTTGTTCTCCCAGGCTTAGGAAAACGATGCAAGGTGATGTTACGATCATGAGCAGGAGAACATGCACACTTGTAACATTTCCTTTCGTTTTCTTTCATGATGAAAGATAAAATTGAGTCTCTGTCTCTTTAGCACAATGCACAGCACTTGTTTTTGAGTCTCTTTCTCACTGTAAACACTAAAACGGAGGAACGGGATGTTCAACTCAACGTTAGTAATGTCAGAAATAAGTTTATATCGAAATATTAACTTAATTTGCAACACAAATAAACAAGAACACAATCGCAAGCACAAGTGATCTGCCATTTGTAAGTTTTTTTTTTTTTGGAGTTTATGGCCTGGTATCTAGACCTTTAGGCCAAGTCTTAAGTATTTTTATTCGGTTTATTGTAATTTCCCCACTCCTTCATAGTATACTGCTTCACAATATGTTGATGCGTCACATTGTGCAGTTCTTGGGAGATTTTGGCGGCAACTTGATCCAGCAGACAGCTGATAGTTGGCGATGGTATCTAAAGGTGCCTATGCAAACAAACAGCTTATCTTGAGAATACATCACCATCAGAGCACTTGTTTCACTGTTTCCACTAATAGTTCACATGCGTAGACACTTAATACACAAAATCGCAACACTTTTACATATCAAAGTCCACTTCAAGCCATTATTTAAACAATAATACAGGAGCAGCAAACCGCCGCCGGTCAATTTCCCGCCAAAACTCCGCCATTTGTAAGTTTGTTTATTTGCCGTTGCCATAACTTGCCTTTTTATTATAGTATGCAGTTTCATATTTATACATTTTGTCACTTCAATAAAGACGTAATAAATATATGTTTAACGAAATATATTATATAATAAAGTATTATAATTATTAAATAAAAAAAATGATTAAAATAATGTGTCATTTAAAATAATATTTCTTTCATGGCAAGATAATATAACGTGCGAGGGAGATAGATATTATTCCATCTCGTTTCCTTAAAGCCCCCCAAGGTCATCTCCCGGTGCCAATCTCCTATTAGGAAGTTGACTGGCCCTGGATAGGATAATACATAAATAAGACAAACATTTTATGTTATATTAAACTGAATAAAGATTATAGAGTTACACATAAAATAGGATATAAGCATTTATGTTATGATAAGGAAATAATAGTTTAGTGTTTATATCTGTATAATAGAATTAGTTTTAATGTAAACAATGACTCAGTAAGGTGGTCACTTTGTAAAGTAGAACTAGCTTTAATGTAAACAATATAACGTGACTCAGCAAGGTGGTCACTTAACATCGTCACTTGCTCTGTCACGCCTCGCGCTGATTGGTCGACGCCATTTATATGATACTTACACCGTATCTATTGACCCAGCCGAGGTAGTATAAAAGAGAGGCGATTTTCGTCGTTCGAGGCTCCAGTATTTCCCTGGGGCCCTAAAAAGGTTGACCCACCGCGGGCAACCTCCTCCGCTCCTCAAGCGATAACACAACAGCCATCAATGGTCGATGACCTTAACACGGTTTACGCCGCGATAAGGAACATCGACATTAATGAAATTGCAGTGTTAGCGAGTAAATTGCGCGCTGCTTGGTCCCCTCAGGACCGCTTATTAGCTCTCGTAGAGCATAATAATCTATTGCGCTCATTGTAAGTTAAGTTAACTTAATTAACTTAACTTTACAATGACAGAGCCATCTGTTATGCCTATAAGTCACGGACGTATAAAGCCTAAAGGGTTATCGCTTATCTCTTTTAACATTCGCGGATTACGTAATAACCTTCCAGAGCTTAAGTTCTTCCTCAGAGATCGCGCAGCCGATTTTCTCCTTTTACAGGAAACCAACCTCAAATATAAGGACACTAAAGGCCTTTCTATTAATAATTATTCTCTTCTTCGTAATGACAGGGCCGACCGCCGAGGCGGCGGAACGGCCATTTATTACAAGAGGACATTACATTGCTCTCATATTGATACGCCACAGCTTACCAATATGGAAGCTACGATATGCAGGTTAGCTATGACGGGACATCAGTCTTTAGTCATAGCCTCCTGTTACATTCCCCCTGGAAACGACCCCCTCAAAAAAGATTTCGAGTCTATATTATCGCTAGGCAATTCAGTCATTATGTTTGGAGATTTTAACTCTAAACATAATGAATGGACATGCCGTGCAACTAACCGTAGTGGCAAGAAACTGCTTGAAATAACGCAGTCTCTTAACACTACAGTCCACAGTCCACTCGGTGCTACTCACTATCCCTATGCCACCGATTATGCCCCCGATATACTAGATTTTGCGTTACTCAAAGGAGTTTCTCTTAACCTCAGGTCAATCGAGACACTAGACGATATAGGATCCGATCACCGACCGGTCTCCCTTATTCTTGGGAGGTGGCCATCAGCCACCCCCCATAACAACAACGAAAACGTTTACTAATTGGAAAGGTTTCAAGGATTCTCTAGCTAAAGCTATAGACTCTCAGGACTCCCCCACCTACCTAGCGTCGGACTTAGACTTAGACAGTCCTGAAAAAATCGACACCGCGGTCGATTCACTATCAACACTCATTAAATCCTCCCTTAAGGAGAATGAAAGGGTCGTTCCGGTTGCTAATAATAGTGGGCTTCCCCTACATATTAGCAACCTATTAAAAGCTAAAAAAGCTGCTTTCCGGAGAGCAGCAAAATATCCCACCCCCGAATACAGGCACACGGCGAATCGTCTTCAACGACAACTCCGTTTCCAACTCTCCGAATTTCGAGACCTCCAAAGGAGTGCACTCATGGAGAATATATCTTCCTCACATACAGCGTACTATAAGATGGCTAGAGCCCTCCGTATAGACGCTACAACTCACACTCCCCCTCTCTCTCGCCCCGACGGTACGGTTGCCTTCGAGGACGACGAAAAGGCTGAGTGCTTCGCAGATAGCATTGCCGAACAATGCTCTCCTAGCTCTCAACCTGTCGACCGCTCACATATTCAGGAAGTGGAGCATGAGGTCCGCCGTCGGAACTCACCCCGTACAACCTCTGACCCCATTACTGTGTCCAATGATGAAATCTCGTCCCTCATCAAAGGACTTAAGCCCAAAAAAGCTCCGGGCGCGGATGGCATCTCCAACCAAGCCCTTAAACACTTTCCAGAGCAGGTGTTAACCCTCTTAGCTATTATTTTCAACGCCTGCTTCAATCTTAGCTACTTTCCAACTACGTGGAAAGAGGCAACTGTCATTGGTATTCCCAAGCCAGGCAAGCCTCTTAACCTCCCCTCCAGTCATCATCCCATTAGCCTCTTCAAGGCCATGGGCAAGCTCTTTGAAAGAGTCATTCAAAATCGAATGAGGCGCTATCTGTTTCCCACAGACGGTGACCCTATTGTCATCCCCCACCAATTTGGTTTCCGAGCGAAACACTCCTGCCCCCAACAAGTTCACCGCATTGTGGAATACATCCTCAGCGGTTTTTATCCTCGTTGACATAAAACCATCGCGGTCTTTTTCGACATCGCCAAAGCCTTCGACCGTGTTTGGCACGAAGGCCATATATTTAAACTATACAGAGTAGGTCTCTCCGATCGTCTAGTACGTCTCGTGACCTCTTACTTACAACATCGTACCTTTCGTTTTAGATACGAAGGCACGCTCTCCTCACAAAGACCCATCAAAGCTGGTGTTCCTCAGGGATCAGTACTTGCTCCCCTCCTCTACATCTTGTACACCAACGACATTCCAATCCCGTCGAATGGTGTTCAGCTCTCCCTATTTGCAGATGACACTGCCCTTTACTTTAAAGGTCACACACTTCCTTTCGTAAGGAACAAGATCCAAAAGTCAGTCGATGACCTAGGAGCTTGGTTCCAAAAATGGCGCATCGATGTGAACCCGGATAAGAGCTCCGCAGTTCAATTCGATTGGAAACGACGCTGAGTCAAAATCAATAAAAATATCCCACCGATACGTATGTTAGAGACCACAGTTCCCTGGCATACGTCTGCTAAATATTTAGGTGTCACCCTTGACACAAGGCTTACTTTCGAGCCTCATATCAAAAGAGCCACCCGTCTAGCACGGTTCTATCTAGGTAGGCTTAACAGTATGTTAGGTGGACATAGTAAAATGTCTCTAAGAAATAAGCGAACCCTTTATAAGGTTTGTATACGACCAGTAATGTCCTACGCGGCCCCTATTTTTGCACACGCAAACTCTAAAATCATAAACGAACTTCAAATAGTCCAAAATCTCTTCTGTCGTCGAGCTACGAACGCACCTTGGTACGTCCATAATGCCGACCTTCATAGGGATTTAGAAATCCCAACAATACAACAATTTATCAAAAAACTCTCTGAAAACTTTTTCAGTCTCAGAGTCGCATAGTAACACATTAATTCGTGAGGCAGCTACTTATGCAGCCCCACTCCCCTCTCGCTATCGCGTCCGCAGGCCGAGAAACTCTCTCTCGGATCCGCCAAACAAACTGTCAAACGACTTGAACTGCCTCCTGGCGGCTCAGTCAAATTCATAATTAATTTTTCATAATTAAATTGTATTCATAATTAAAATGCCTTCGTAGGCACTCCCTCAGCGGCTTATAGCCGCCTGCGCCCTCTTTTTCCCAAAAGAGGGTCGCTTTACGACACGGCATGTGCAGCTTTAAACAACTAGTTGTCAGTCCCCAAAGGCGGTTTTTAGGGGGTATCACTTAGGCTCCCCAGTTAGGTGTGAGTCCCCATTAGCAACGATGGATAGCCTATCGTGGTATGCGTAATGCATTTTCCGCGCCGTCGTTCGACATAGTCGGCGGCCAGCTACCTCAAGAAAAACATAGAATATAGAAGAAAGAAAATATCTCAGTGGTTTTATTCTCCACCAACCCAGCACACAATTGTGCCTGTACGGCACAATATTCATATTTTAATTTTTAATTTCTCAGCATTCCCGTTAGATGCGATAAAACTAATATTAATTTTGTAATCTATAGATTATAAGGAATAAATCGACATATATTTCATTAAGTTTCCCTGAAATTCATAGTGAGCCTATTCTCCATACAAAAAGAAAATGTCTGCTTTGTTAAGTGTCGAATGCACCACCTGGCACCACCCTCGTACTCCAGCCTACGAATTTGGAGTAATTATATTAAAAAAATACTAACAGACGTAGTTCAAATAGCACATCTCAAAAGTATTAACTATTTAAATATACTATTTAGAAATAAAAATAATTAAAGATTGCTCATCTTATAACGTCTATATATAATGAGAATTGGGTACTTTTTGCTATATAAAAAATAC